TGTTCTATCAGGAAAAGGGGAAGAATGATAGTTAGTACCTATGCTATGTATTTTGAGACCTCTTAAAGACTTGTAGAAATTGCAGAAGACATGGGTGCTGGAACTCATTATTAATCATGAAATAGAGAATCCCTAAAGCTGACAGCTTTCTCTTAAAGCAGGCAAATTATAGCTTTTTCTTGTAGGAAACAGGTAAAGACAGAGCACCTGGAGAAACCAAAAAAGAAGGAGAAATTCAGTTAGCCCTGTAACTATAAGAGAGTTATAACTAGAAAAATATGTCCACAAAACATTTGGTTCCGAGTCAGCTCACTTATCTGCTGATTGCATACGATTGCAGCTCTCTTCACTTCCTCATGTGCAGTGACTCATAGATATGTTCTTGGAATTCTGCTTAAAAAAATTCTGAAGTGTAATGATCTTTAAAAAGGGAGGTCATCTTTATTTGAGGGAAGATCATTTTATGTTGTTTACTCCAAGTTAATATTTGGTGTTGGTCTAGAATTCAATTATACTGGGTAAAGGTCAACATTACACAACTGAATCTCATGCATATACACAGTTCAGGCTATATATGTTTTGTTCTCACCAGTGCAGTTCATCATAGTGTGATCACTGTGATCATCTCAAGAAAAGGAGAAGAACCACTTAGTACTGTAACTCCAGCTGTTGCGTTTTCATATGTGATGCATAAACTTCACATTTTTTGTAAATGTGTTGTACTTAACAAGCATCGCATAGATTCATTGGTACATCTCCAGACTCATTCTATAGTATGTATGCTATAGGAAGTATTACACAAACACAAGTTTCAGTTAATTTAAAGAAGTCTCCTTAGGGGCACAAATGGATGTGGAAATATAGCAGAGACAAGCCCAAGCAATGTGTGCTCTATATTGTATAAAATTGTATAAATTTTGAGGGTTTAAAACCAACCTAAAACTTAGACTGTGTATTATTTTAAATCATTTGAAAAAGAGTATTTTTTTGCTGATGCTTTTTATAGCTTAACACTAATACTTAAGGACTTTTGTGCTTTGTGTGCAGGTATATGTCTCGAGTCCATGGTATGCATCCAAAAGAAACCACACGTCAGCTGAGTTTAGCAGTCAAGGATGGTCTTATTGTTGAAACCCTGACGGTGGGGTGTAAAGGGTCAAAAGCTGGTATTGAACAAGAAGGATATTGGTTGCCAGGAGATGAGATTGTGAGTATAAAATCTTTGAGAAAATAAATCATGATTTCTGGTGTCTTGGCATGAAACTTGTTTTAATTTCTATTGAAAGTTATTTATAGATGCTGTGTTGGTTATTGTGAACAGGGAAGTAATGCACTCTTGAACTTTTTTAACCTTTTCTATTCCATAGAAGCTCTTTCTTCTCTAATTCTGAGTTTTCTGCTATGAAGCACTGGCAAAGTCCTTTGCTCAGTCATCCTTCACTTTTATGTAGTATTCTCTTCTACAGCTGTACAGGAAGACAGTAAATGCTATTGGTATTACTTGAAATCCTCAAACATCCTCAAATCCTGAAGATGGTATCTTTTTAAAAAAAAAAGAATACAAGAATTTTTTATTAATCTTGCTTTAATCTGAATCTAAGGAAGGAAGAACTCCTCCCTTTCAAAAGTGCAACAAGAAGTTGTACATTTATATACAAACACACATGAAAAGATGTGTTTTAAAGATATTTGTGAACACCAAAGCACCCAGTTGGGAAGGATTTTCGTAGCACATCAGTAACAGGCACCCAGACATTGTTCCACTGGATGTGTAAGATAAATATTTAAATCAAGTTAAATGGGCTGAAAGTTTTGTGAAGGAAAGAAAAGCATGTTTTCTATCCCTCCATAGCTGTGATGGAAAGCACTCACAAAGTTAACTGAGAATAGTCCTATAGACCAAGAAAAAAAAAAAGCTTGCACAATTGCTTTGCCTTGTCCAGAAGCCCGGTCTCTGTATTTATAAGACCACGTTTTCTTACTTAAAAAAAAGAGAGTTTGGCAAAGCTTTCAAATACTTGAACCAGGAACTGTTGCTTTGGAATATAAATTGCATTAAATACTGGTAAAATTGACAGCACTATCTTGGACATAGGTAATAATTTAAATTTTGAGGAAAACCAGAAAAACTCTACAGGAAAACAAATTCTAAAAACCACCAAAATACTCATTGCATTATTGCAGCCATCAATAAGATATTGATAGTGAAACAACAGATTATTTTTTGGTTTAAAGTGGAGATAGAAAGTGGAAACAGGCAGTATCCATAACAGAAAACATTATGGTTAAAATTATCCCAGTTACACTAATTTATTGAAATATATACTTAATGTATATTATGTTACTATTAAGATTCTCATTCTAATTTCATTAGAAACCCTCAAGGGAGCCTTTAAAGTGTATATAGCTTTGTTTTTACTATTCTCCTTGTGAGTAAACATTTCAAAACTCCAGCTTAGCTCTTTTATGTATTTCTTATGTCAATTTTATCAGTTTAGAGATGATGTAAACTGTGTAGACTCAATATTACATAAAGTCTGAGATTTGTAGTTATCATCTCAAGTATTCAGTATGTTTCCTCTATTGCTAAAAGGAAAAAAAAAAGAAAAAAAGAATCAAAATGCCTCACAATAGCCATTTCTTAAATAGTGATTCAAAAAATGTTCCTCCTACTTATTAGCAACATCTGTCTAACAAAAACTGTAAGATAACCAGCATGTAAATTCCCAGTGAGTCATAAGAATTACGTAATTAATTTATCTCAGAATGAAGAGTTCTCTCTGACTTGACTGAAGATGTTGCTTAAGTCACATGATGAATAGCCCCTTGGTTAGAAGTATTGACTGTATTTTCAGCGTGACTGATGCGTTGTGCTGTGTCCATATGTCTGATGGCCATTAGTTGTTCAGAACACCAGTGCGCACTTAACAGTTTTATGCAAAAACAGGAATCAGCTTCTGATCCAGGCCATCATGTTTCAACAGTACCCAACCTCCAACTTCTTGATCCTAATACTGAATCAAAATGCTGCAGACATGAAGCAAAACACATCGACTTGGTGTAAAGTCATTCTCTTTGTTCTTTTATTCAAAAAAAATTAATGAATAACAAAGTGTCATTGTCATCACTGGACATCAAATAAAGTAGTTTCCATTCTCCAACAATGGGTGCAAACCCATGAAGTTTGGTATGTTCTCTACATTGGACACGCTGGGTAGTTTTACAGATGCTTTGTCTGCACTTGATCAAGATGCAGTTTGTAGTTCTTTGTAATTCAGTAATGCCCAGATCTGGTACTAATGGCTGTTAAACCATGAGCTCAAGTTGTATTTCAGTGAGGACCAACACACAGAAATCTTTTCAGAGATCCACTTGTAGGAGATAGGAGTCTATGAATTAGAGCTATTAATGTTGGGACAGGGATTTCAGATTTATCAGACTTCAGCACTTACAGCCAGACCCTTGACCCAATTGTCAAACTCAGTTTGACTTGGAAAGCTCATAATGTGAAAGAGGAAGACTCGAGAACTGATCTGCCACCTATTGGCATCAGAACAAGAATGCCCTTGGATTTTAGCTTGTTTTCTGGCACTAGTGGAAGTCAATAAGGACCAGCTGTTTCAAGGAGTTAGCAAAGGGGACACATTCCTGCCATCGCTCCTTCATTTTTTATTTGAGCATTTGGTTGAAAAATCAAATCAAAGTTTTGGATCTAAATTTTAGCATTTCAAATCCACATTCAAGTAAATAAGTGACTGTCCTGACCTGCAGAACTGCTGAGCACCTGTATGTTACTTACATAGGTGCCTGGCTAGAGGCTGCCACAAGGCCTGAAAATACTGATTTTAATGATGACTTGTGGATTGATTGCTAAATGGTAACATTAATTAAAACCATACAGATTATGAAAACACACCTCTATTTGGAAAAGATTCATTACATAATCTGTGGTGTTTTCTTACGTTTCCAAACATTTGCCCTATACCATAGTTTGACATGATAGATCTATGCAGTAAGGACACAGTCTCTGATAGGGTTACTCTTAGCCTTCAGAGGATTGTGTTAAAAAAATTATGTTACTTTGCTATCATTGTTCTATCAGTATGTTGAAGCTGTGATTAAAAAAATTAAGGAAAATTTCATATATTATAGAGATTTCATACAAAAGAAGAAGCTGAGGTGCAAAGACAAAACAGTTTGAGGCCATCAGGAGGCCATTCCAAAAGGGGCAACTCATGTGAAAACAACGATTCTGAAAAACTGGAAAAAAGAATGACCAGATTTAAAAGAGTATAAAATTGTTCTCTTTTTCTCTCAGATATATGTGGGAGAAATATTTTTATACAAGTTACTAAATTTAACATATGGAGTCAGTTGCCAAATGTACTATATTCCAGCTGATATTTAAGGGTTGGTATCTGTAGAAGAACTTTGCTGCAAATACTATACTTCCTGGACTTCTGCAGGTACTCATTTTGTTTGCTCATTTGCCATCTATACAGATGTTTTGCAGATTTTCAAAATGTGTTCTCATCTTACAGGCTTTCTCATCTTGCAGATGATTAATGCATTTGACACAAAATAAATGAGAGAATAAATTATTTTCCATTGTTATCCAGGATTTTAGTTCGGAATTTTGCATTTCTACTGTTTGTCAATGCCATTATTATGAAGTTCAACCAAATCTCTGCAGGTTCTTGCCTTACAAGGGAAATGACAGTCCTGAAATCGGTAATGGGAGTTTATTTTTTCTTACTGAAATCTTTATTTCTGTTTCTCACAGAACTTGTGAAATTTGGAAGTGTTATTTATTAACATAAAAGAAATTATCTTCTTGCTCTTCGGGTTTAGAAAACAATTTGCAAATCAGTGTTGTTAACAATGTTTTCAATGCAGTGGAGAAAATAGAAATATAGTTATTGAAGAAAAGAATCATGAATCTCCTTACCTGTTCATTTCTATTTTCAGTTATGCCATGATTTTTATGTACTTTTTTCTGTGTGAAATAGTGGTCAGTCTAATCCCAATGAAAGAAATCAAATTAAAGCACCAATGTCATGCCGGTTTATGGGGGGTTAGATACAGTTCTTAGAGTTACTTTGTCTTACACATTTACATATTTTGTGATTTTTCTACAGACAGTGTGCATGGAGCTATTTTGAGCATTTAATGTGCTAATTCTTCTCCTCATGATTAAAGTCATAAAACTGCACTGACCCAGAGAGAGGCATTATGAATGTATAATTTAAATTTACATGTGTTCATAAAGCCAAACAATATTGTGCTCTTCTAAAACGGAGATTGTTGGTAACACGGGTTCATTGTTTGCATCTGAATGCAACATCTCGTAGCACTGCAGTGGTTTGAAGTTGGTTCATAGTGGCCAAATTCTCTAATGAGGTGTGAAGAGTGAGGCTTTACACTTAGTTAAGGCACTTCGAGGTATTTCTTCACTGACAAAATACATATAAGGTGATTATATTTTCAAGAAATCACTCTTTAAAGAGTGGCAAAAAAGCCAGCAACTTTTCTGGCTAGTTAAGTCTGACTTTGGGATTTAGTTGCAGTCATTTCTCTGTGCGTCTGTATCTCTCCATATCTAAATTATTGCCTCTGCAATTCTTCCCTCTAAATACTTTTTAGTTTAGTGGTGAGCATGTTATTTGGAGGGGCAGTTTGCTTGCTTTCCTGTTTTCAGAAAACATTAGAAATAGAACGTGCTTTTTCCCAGCACACTCATGTATTCATAACTTGCTAACTCATACTGGGGAATTTCTGATATTTTATATCTAGAAAGTTCTGGTGCTTGCTGAAGTCTGCCTAAATAATCCATCTCTTCGCTCTGTCTGCTTTTCCATCATTTTAACCTTTGTTGTAACCCACTGCCCGCACTGTGAGTTTTGAAGGTGATTTTGTTAACCCTAGTGACCTTAGGCACACACCCAGTGATTATTGTGATTTGCTGTATTGCAGCTTCAATTTTGCTAGGATCAGTCTATGAGAAAGGAGTATTTTGGCTATTATGTTTGTGTTAATCTAAACTGCTTTTGATTGAGTAAAGGCTGGGTTTCTTTCTTGCCATGCTTAATTGCTTTTGTAATTACATTGGTTTTTCCATGCTAGGTCAGTATTGGTAGCCAGAAGCTGTTTTTGGAACTGGCTATGTCATCTTGAGTCTTAGTAAATATAAAGATAATTGTAAAAAGC